GTATTCACAATTTCAATAAACTTGTTAAAACTGCTTTGGTGTTTGGCTCAGTGAAACTCAATCCCCCATTCATTACAAATTTATCATAAAGATCCACAAATTTCATTCACAATTTTATAAAAAACAAGGTTCTTGATTTGCTAAACTTATTTATATTTAGGACCATACTGTGACACAGCTGCTCTGGGATAAATGTAATTTATTAAATGATCAAATATGAAGAATAAATACGTAGTTACATGAGCTGAAACCGTCTAAATAATATTATATTTTTGAATAAAATAGTCTTTTAAAAAAGAAATGAGAATAACAAATAAAACATTTGAATATTTTAAGTTATTTTGCTTTGTGAAAAAGACAATTACAATAACAAAACATGTACAACAGGTTGCCTTCAGGCCCAGGCCACCCTTGAAAAAGAGATCTGAGGTCTCAATGGGACTTGCCTGGTAAAATAACCATAAATAAATAAAAAATAAATTTGCTGGTTGGACTGGAGAGTGTGGAAAGCTGGTTTAACCAAGGCTGAAGATGCAGAAGGTCAAACTAGCTGTCCATCTGAGGGACATGTTAGTCTAAAAGACATTWAACCATGAAATGTTCAGTTTGTGATGTTTATATGACACACACCCAGCCCCTCGGACACTTAGCTAGTTTACAACATTTATGCAGAGTAAAAGAATAAAATAAAAACTTGTTGGACTGATTTGACATGATGTCCTGAGACGTTGCAGCTGATAGGAGTCATAAAACAGAACAGGGGGACGTTAGATGACCTGACACCCCTCTAGTTAAATGTGTTCAATGAGTGAAGGAAAATATGAGTGAGCACCAAGCAACAACCCTAGGTTCTCCCCTGAGAACCAGAACAAACATAATATCTGCAACCCTGTACATACTGTATGTACACAAATATTTTATTATCCCTTCTTTAAATCTATCCAGTCCAATCCAATTGTATTTGTAAAGCACATTTTGCACCATTGGAGACCAAAGTGCTGTACATAATGAGCACTGCAACGCAGCTCATACAATAGCAAACTCAATCACAATTAAAATAGGAAAAAACACAGAAAAATAACAGCAGGTAATAAAACACAAAGTAAAAACAAGGAATAAAAACAATAAAATGCCTAAAACCTAATTTCAAATCTATGACGAGTTTTAAAAAATGAAGTTAAGACATTAACTTAAGTTCGGGAGCAGGACCACACCTCTCACCTGCAGCAATCAGTCGTCGTCCATTTAAACTCGCCTCACCTGGCGTCTTCCCTTAGCTCGCTGTGTCAACACCCACCCTCCCCTTTCCCCCCACTTAAGCCCCTCTATAAGGCCTCATTGCGTCACCTTCTTCACTCCTTTCATCCCTCCCTCGTCCCTTCATCCCTCCCTCGCCCCCTCATCCTTTCATCCCTCCCTCATCCCTTCATCCCTTCATCCCTCCATCTCTGCTTCTTTCTTTCTCCTCCATCCCTACCTCAAACTACCTCCTAATCCATTCCTTTTCAGGGTCCAGCTGGGGGGTCCAAAGCAGGCTCAGAAAAGCATCCTTCCTGGAGACCATGCCCCACTCTGAGTCTTCGCCTCAAGCTTCCTTCGACATACCTCCCCAGATTCCTCATCATTCATCCCACTACCCTTCTACCTCTTTCCTTCAATAAAATTTTTAAACTCTTACTATGGTGTGGTCCTTGCTAGT